GAAATAAAAGCAATGCTTTTGTATTTAAAAAGTTGTGCTTTCAAAGTTTTGAAATTGAAACCGGTATGCAAATAAGTATCATCACCGACAAATGAATATTCAGAGTCAAATTGAAGCGATATTCAATATCTACTACAAAACCGATGATTGCCCGCTTTGCTTTGCATATTTGCCGGGTTCACCTTCCTGTTCCAATAACCCAGATCGCTGAGACAAAAAACAAGCGAAAACACAAACAAAGGCACACGCACACGCACACATGTGTTGCATGCAACTAACTAAATTCTCTTTATTCCTTTGCTGAGTTTCAACTATGCTGGGGGTGAGGGGGGAGGGGGCTGACTCGGTTCGTACTGCCTCCGTTAAGCCAGTCCGTTGCACATTGCCAATATCCGCGCTTGACTCTCATTCGTACAACGGAGCTTTCTTTGCCCCTTCTGCCTCCTGATTTCCATTGCATTGCAGTTGCCACCATCGATGACCGAGTGGCGATGGCACGTAGCATGTTGCACGTTGCCAACAATGTCGTCAGTAGCATGGGAGTTGGCCACAGTGCAGTGCAAAGTTGTGGTGTAACAACCGCATTGCAAGGCGAAACTTTCCACTGGAAATTATTCGCATACAAACAACAACAACAACAACAACAACTGCTGGCAACAACAAAACTCAAACAAAATTGTTATCTTCATCGCTGTTTGATTTGTTGTTTTTCATTGGCGCCTCTATTGTTTAATGCAACTGTTGTTGCATTAATTGTTGTTATTGTTTTGTTGTGTTTGTTTTTATTGTTGCTGTAGCATTTATTGTACAAAGTCAAATTGCATGGCAAATTGTTCGCATTCAAAATAATTAAAACTTTCACTGTGGTTAACGGTTGACTGAGCGATGTCAATGGCACAGTGTGTGCAAAAAGTGGGTGGCAGGTAAAAAATTTGTGATGTAATTCATTGAAGCACGGCGAGATGTTTTAGGCGTAAAATATTTAGTGGTTTCGTTGCGTGGAGTTTTTCGCGCTTGATCGCTGAGCTTCTAGTCGCTACTAACTTACATCCTGCGGCAAAAGTATGCGTTACCGAACCCGAAAGATACTAATAATACGAACAATAAATCGTTGCCGTTATGATAGCCAAAAATATTGCGATTTTGATGGAAATTTGATTACTTAAAGCCTGGTCGTGTAATATTTTAATTAATAACACACACAAAATTTACATATCTAATTTTTGGTCATTTTAAAACTGGACATAAACTTTTATGTATCAACTTTCAGCCGCGAATCAATGGACATAATTTTTGGACATGCAATATTAACACATTTTTGGGCATCTTAAACAATTTTTGGTAATCTAATAAATGGACATAAACATTTAATTTTTGGTAATTTCAAAATAGAACATAAACATTTAGACCTAAACTTTCGACCGTAAATAAATATTTAGTCACTGAAAAAATTTACACACTGTTTTTCTGACCAATTTTTTGTTTATTTAAAAACTGGACATAAACTTTTAACATAGATTTTCGCCAAATAAAAATGAGGATATAATTTTTTATTTAATGACTGAACATAATTTTTTGAACATTTGAAAACTGGACATAAATAAAATAAATACCGGGCATAAATTTTGGGAAAACCAGACATTAATCTTTGGCCATTTCAAAATTGGACATAAACTTAAAGACTTTGTATAATTGACTCACCATGAAAACATTTTTGGTTTTTAGAAAATGGACATAAATTTTCAGCCATAAAAAAATTGGGCATACATGTTTGGTTATTTAAAACTAAGTCTTAAATACATATTTACACGGAAGAAAAAAATAACTAATATACAAAAAAACGGAAAACTAACTAAAATCTATTTTATTTTGAAAATTAGACAAATAAAATTTAACAGTAAAATGTCATAAAAGGGAAAGTGCGTATAATTTTACTCCTTTCAGTGTGCAGTTGTTGTTGTTGTTAAGTTTTTACCAATTAATAGTCGGTATCTTTCTTTTGTTATCCATATTTTTAATCCTCTTCAAGACAAAGGATTGTCTCCACCTGTCACAGTCAATTTATGTGCTAAACTTTTAAATAATCCACACTGCATTTGAGTTTTTGCTTTGCATGTGATATTTAATTATATTAAACTTTTAAATAGCAAAAAATTTAAGACCATTTTTAAAAAACGAATACCCCCTTTTTAATTTCAAGCGTTGTATAAACGCATTAGTGCATACAATTTTCAATTTGCAAAATCTTCCTATGAAACGGCACCCCAGCTCCCTTCCACGTCTCTTTAAAATATATCGATTCACAATTCCAGCTCCACCATTCCAAGCCAGCAAATGGCCTTTGGTTTAACCTCGCCTCTTCCGTCGGGCCACTTTGGCATTTCATAGTTCGTCGTGTTGCTGACCACTTGTGCGCCCTTGGCAAAGGTGACATCACTTCTAAGTGAGACAGTTTGGGAAAGAGAAGAAGCGAGTGGAAATTGCGCGGCGATAAAAACAATAAATTCATTTCTGCCGTCATAGCTATTCATTTCTTTCATTTCGCACTCTCTGTCTCGCTAGCCTTTTTCTGCTTGAAAACAAAACCAAAAAAAAAAAAACAAAAAAAAAAACAAGCCATTAAAACTAGGATCAAGCAAACAGCAATAGCAACATAGACAGAAATATGGAAAAAGTGGCGACAAAAACTATTTTCTCCCAAGCGGACTGTAGAGCAAGTGCTAGAATAATGAGGACACCAGCACGAGTTGCGAAGCGCCACCAATTGACCATTGTTTTAGTCGCCTGCAAATTATTATTGTATTTGTATTTGTATTTGTTAAGCGCTGTTGGCTACCAACATTGAGCCGAGGTGAGGCTGGGTGAGGTGAGACGAGGTAAGGTGCGGTGAGGTGAGGCTGGGGCGGTGACGTGGCATGCCAACAACATGACTTGTGTGCTCGAGTGCGGCGAACGAGCAACAACCCCAGCGGATTACAAAGTGGAGTAGAACAGTGCAAACATCAACAACTCGGCTGTATTGTCGAGCAGAACGTTGCGGCAATTTAATAGAAACGAGAATGAGCGCTGCAGCAAAGGGGCTGGGCAGGAAGCTGGTTGACTTTGCCAACAAATATTATAGTAAAATTTATGAATTGGGTAGGATGATAGCGAATGGGTTTCGCCGCTGGGTGGCTAAGTTTTAACTGCTTTGTGGTGAAAGTGCCATTAGAGCGTCAACGCCATAAACTTTGTTGGGCAATATGAGGTTAGATTATAAGATTGTGACGCACCAACAGAAATTTGTTACAATAAATAGTGGAGCTGAAACACGTTCGCAGTGAAAGCGAGGGGTTAGAGGATAAATAATTTTGTAAAAATGGGTAAATGCGATTTGAGATGTTACAGAAAGACTGGTTCCATTTGCAGTCCAATGAACAGACAAAGAAGTATTTTCAAATAGCAGTGAAAATCCTTAACCACCACCAAGGGGCGGAAAAGCTAAGTGTTATCCGATTTTAATGAAATTGAGTCTGCCTAACTTACTTTTAACCAGAAAAAATTGAGCCTGAAATATTCGGCCTTATCCTAAGTTTCTCCTCAAAAAAATTACCCGAAAATTTTTCATCTGCCCATAGTAAAACCATGGAAACCAAAAGTGAAAAGTGAACCGGTTCGGGGAAAATTAAAGTCATGATAAGGCTGATTATCAAAATCAGCCTACTGCTCGCCCTAGAGCCATTTAAAAAACGTATAAAAACCGATAAATATCTAGTATATCTGCCTCCTAATATAGCGGCCGGGGAAAGTTCATAATTATACATAATTTTTTACACTTCTTCATTCCTAAACAAAAGTACTACATACATAATAAACTTCAAATAAACTTCAAGCAAACATATTTTAAGTGAATCGGTCATTGTTAGGCGTCCAGTCTGTGGAAGATTTACGGAAGAGAGACTATAGAGTATTTTGAAAACGATAACCATAGTATCCAGAAAATCATTGAAACGTGCATGAAAGCATATATGCAAATGTTCGCAACTCTGAAAAGACAAGCAAACTAGGCATTAAATATAGAGACAAATCCAACAACAACCGCCCATTCAACTAACTACCGTTGTTAAGCGGATTCAAATTTTTATGCAAAAGTACGATTCAAACCACACCGACTTCCAACGTCCATTGAATTCTACTAGTGCAATTTTTCACAGAAAAATCCTTAAAACGTACTACTTGGCATGCCAAGAATCATATCAGCTACGTAGTTGACTTCGAGACTTTTTAATCTAGCACTTTCTTCCAACACTGACACCACTCTAGGCCATCAGATCCAGCAGATCTGTTGCTTTTCAAGCTGCGCTTCTTCTATTCCAATTTAGTCATAGTCGTCCATCATCTTCGTCTGGTTCTCATGTTCACCTTCCCAATGGACAGTTAGATATTTTTAGGCCATCGGTTACTTGGCTGCCATTGTTGTTTTCACATGAATTCGCACTAGTCTTTAAACCCTCGCCAGGCATTTCGAGCTCGATCGATCCCACATAGCTCGAGTTCGCCTAATCGCAGCGTTATACTGTAGGCAGCATCTTTTTTCTCTGCTGGTTCCAATTTTAAGAACAAATTTAGAAATCCAGTCGCTTGCTCCTCAACAGACGTCCGCTTGTAGCTGCCTTGCCTGGTGAACAAAATCTGCAGACTTGAACTGCATCCTTAAACCTCACTCTCTTTTTGCCGTAATCAGTGACTCTGCACCAATAGCTTACTACGCTACCCAAAGCGCACCTTAAATTGGTTAAATTGTCATAAAGCTAACTATTACTTTAGTTTATTACTTTTTTTGTATTCGCCGAAAATTTCCAATCTTCTGTTCAACGGCTAGATATTTTACGTACTACTAATTAAAAGCTAAGGCCATTGCTTTCATTTTCGGCTCAGGTTCATGTTTCTGATTCATATTTATTACAAATTTTGTAGCTTGTACTGCATTGCATTAAATTGGTAATTTATTCTATTTTCAGCTGCATCGCTGCAAAACTTCCGAGGAATATTCACTCAGCAGACATTTGCCGGTAAGTGGTAGTACAAAAATTTAATTAAAATTCCTTCATAAGGGAAAGTGTTAAAAGTTTGCCAAAATCATTTCCAGAACATAAATCAATATACATATATACATAAATAAGTGCAAACTAAGTATGTAGAATGCACAAATGTAAGTATGTGTGTATCTATATAAATAATTTTACTCAAATAGCTCCTCTAAAGGGCAACGAATTGAATCGATATCATTGCATCCACAAATCTCTAAACAAAACGGATGTGTCAATATTTCATGTTCAGATGTTAATTGTTTTTGTTTGCTATAATTAAATTTTAGAAATAACAATTAAAAGTCTGTGAAAGAATAAAAAACTTGCCATCAAGATAGTCATATAAAGATACGCATATGTATGTACATAAATAAAACAGAGTAGTTGACTCAAAAAACACATCATAAAAATGTCTATGTCTGTGGTAAACGTACGCAATGAAATGCAAGTGCACTTAATCTTAATCACATTGCAACATTAAAGCAAAAATGATATTATACATATACAGGATGGTCAATATAATGGTTTATTTTGAAAAATTAAAAAAAAATAGATTACAAAAATCTTTTTCGGTATATTATTGATTTATTCAAAAGAGCAAACATTCCCACTCTTTATGGAACACAATTTCACTTATGTGGCTACCTCGGTTGGCTTCGCAATAGCGCATTCTCTCCAAGGCCATGGTGACGAATAGCTTACTCGATATTCAGCTTAATGGTCTGAATCGTTAATCAACTCCCGGTACTCCATGGCATATGACAAAAAAAAAACGTCTAGCGGTATCAAATCACCGAGACGGCTGATAACATGATAACCGCGCCATCTAGTTGAAACCAGAGATCGCCCAAGTTCAAGGCTTCAATTTCCGGCAATAAAAAATTTTTCATCGCGCCTCTGTACCGCTCTCCGTTGACCGAAATTGCTTTTCTCACTTTCTGGGGATGCCTTGGCTTCTCAACGATCGCGTGCGTCCTTTGCGATTCCATTAGAAAAGATGATTTTTCGAGAAAACTCGGTGAAAAAGACTTTCTGTCAAGATTTTCAGCTGTAGCTGTGCAAATAATGTATGTATGTTTAAAAACAACAACTATATGGGTCACCCTCTACACATATGTATATGGGCAATTAAAGTATTCTTTGCCCAGATATTGTCAGAAGCAACAGCTGCTTTAACATGAAATACTTTACTTAGTTTTATTGCTCTACCCATTGGCCATCGCTAACCGACGCCACCCATAGACTTGTGTCAATTTACATATTTATTACATCACCATGTTGCTCTTTTATGTGTGAGGTTACATACCTTTACACATTCACATGCCTCTTACAACTTCATATGCATGTATGTATGTATGTCCTTTAACCATTTTCTGCAAAAAGCAATTCATTTACAAGTTGAATAAATTAATTTACAACAATTTATTGCATATGCATAGGCGCATATACATATGTACACATTTTTACTGCCGGCGCAGAGCAAACAAACGCTTCCGCAACCAAGCTCTAGGTTCTAGAGCGGTGCAAATTGTGTAGAATCAACAGCGTGGATGGTTGCTCGCTTTGTGTTGCTCTCATACATATGTATGTATGTATGTGGCTGCTGGTGAATGCGTCGAAAGCATTCAGATTTGCCTGAAAAGGGAAGCTTTAGAAAGATATGCTTTTGAAAGATATGTCTTACGAATGCATATTAATAGCTATATAAGTAGATATATATAGAAGGGCATGTGTGCGTATTTATGTACAACTGCAAGTGAAAAGTGCTAAGGCAGCATTTAATAAGCTGCACTTGGAGGCATCCCCGGCTTATGTACACTTTTAGGCTCTGTATGAAGTTGCGAACATTGTGTTTATCTATGTAAATGCACAACTACGCTGGCGGTTACATTTAGAGAATTAGTTTAAACACATATGTACTTGTATACCAGAAGACTCAACTACCGTCGCTAATCTTATCTAAAGCTCTTAATGTTAATTATACTCAAGAGAAAGGGAGTGTGCATGCGGCTTCATGTTGCATAATTCTTTTAATGAATAGTTTCGTACAATCGCGTAAAATATGTATGTGAAAGCCGTGTATACTTAGTGATAATTATATGAGTAAGAGCAAAAGTCAGTGTGGCTAGGAGTCAAGGAGTAAAAGGCGCAGGGATTGTGCAAACAACGTAGAGCAAATATGTATGAGTGATATGCATTGTTCGCTGTTACAATGCGCAATTGGATGCACTTAAAGGTACATTTAGTTATGTATAGATACGTAAATTCATGCGTGTTTAACGTGACGGACAATTTAAATAGTTACTTTAAATTTTAATGTGGATATCAATATTTTTAACTAGCTACTACTGAGCGTAGTTAGAGTATTTACATCATCATATTTTATATTACACTTTGTTGCTGGAGCGCTTCCGTATATGAAGGAGTTATATATTAGAGCCTTAGTCGCTCTTTTGACTTGAAGTTCTTCATGAACTCCAGCCTCAGGTTAAGTGACAGTAAACAAATTAAACACACAGTCCTATAAGAAAATTGTATCTGAGTTAAGGCTAGCCAATTCTAATAGATTTTTAGTCGCTGAGCCCAAATTGCTCTATCCCAAAAAAACAAGCGAAAAATGCGATTATGACCTATTTTTGAGGTTACATAGCATCGCAACGTTTTTGTTTCTCCAAAACTGTGTAAAGCATATTTAAGAATATTTCTTGTCCTTTCACACGCTGTTAAGCACCTTCCACGCTGAGCTAGCAGGCTACTGGTTTTAAGGCAATACAAGGTAGGAAAGTTAAAGAGGAAAAAAGACGGCAACCCTTCTCAAACTCAACAGATGTGCCATAAATGTGCATACCCGGTGTCATCACAAGACACTTTGCCATTGCATATGCATATAAATAAATATGATAAAAATTTCAAAGAATAAGTGTTTAATGGTTCAGAATCGGATATAATAAATCGCTTCATTTAAGGCAAACGTAAAGGGTATTCCGCATCAACATTCATATTTCTGAACAAACATAAATTCTGCCTTCTGAAGCCCCATAGTTTTCCCTTGTAACGTCACTTTCTAACAACCGCAAACAAACAATAATAAAATTAGTAAAAACTATTTCATAAAAATGGTTTACCTCACAGCAATGAATAAATAAATGTGGCCACTACGCCGCAAAGTGGAAGGAGTGATAAAAAAAAATAGCCAAACATAAAATGCCAGTAACACAGAAAAGGCTGAGTCAACAGAGTGTGATTAAATTTTATGTGGTATAATTTTAGGCAAACAAGACATGAAAAAGGCACAGCAATGTTAGTAAATGGCTTGGGTCGGTATTTGTGTGGTTAGGTGGATATTTTGATGTGAGTGGGTGTGCGTGCGTGCACGCATGAGATTAAAGAGAGGCAAAGAAAATATTCAAACGTAAACATAATTTGAGATTTAATAAAAATAACTCATTTCCCAACATTTAAATATACACATACATAAGTGCATGTGTATCTGTACCACCTACATTAGGGTGGTCAAAAAGATGTGAAGTCGGAGTTTTAAAGCTCTCAACCTCTAGGATGGTTCTAGATCGAAAAAATATATCCCTATTTTTTTTTAATCAAAAACTATTTAGAGGTCGCTCAAAGTAATCAAAGCTTTCCATGTACGTATTTCATATGGGGAAAAGCAACTTCGTACATATGCTATAGAATTCTTTAAAATCTGTATTTTTCGATCGGATAACTCTGGCTCTCTTCAGGAGACTTCCAATAAAATACCCTCTAAATACTATTAGTTTAAAAAAAAAAAATAGGGGGATATTTTTTTCGGTTTAGAAAAATACAGGGGGTGAGAGCATAAAATTTCCGACTTTACTTTTTCACATGAAATTTTGGACCACCCTAACCTACATCTACATCTACTATACAGCTGCGCTTTCATCATGAAGATCATAGTTATTAATGAAATAACAAAAACTGAATTATTATTATTTTTTTTACAATTAATGGAGCTGGAATGGAAATTCTGTATGAAAATGGCGGTCCCTGCATGGGTATGCAAATGTTCTGCAGCGCCATTCAAAGTTCAAGCAATTTATACATGACAAATATGAATGCAAGCATGTATGCCTGTTCTACGTAAAATAACAAGTGAAGGACAATATCGAATTGCAATAAATAATGAAAGACAAATTAATTTTCACGAACTTGCAAAAAGTAATTTACTTGTGTTCATTGATCCGTGAAGCGCATAAAGTGCTTATCATAGTATGGGTATCTGATATAAAATGAAAATACGAGTTTGAATTGTGTGTGAAAAAAATACGAAGATGTGGTGGTGCAATTGGCAGTTGATCACAACTATCTGGCGGAAATAAGCAAGCGCACCTTTATACACGTACATATGTATGAGTGTATACTCATACCTTAACTCGTATGTATGTGCATACTATTTTAAATTGTGTATGAGTTACATGTTTTCCGGTATGCTTAAACACGATTTTATTTACAAACTTCACAAAGCAAGGAGGAAAATCATCACTGTTTCACATAAATATGTATGCATCGTTAAGTGTCCTATTAGTAAACGCTATGGTTCCGAAATGGTGCGCGGAATTTTGAGTCATAACACGGCTGGAATTTTTCACTTAAACGACTGTGGAGTTTTCATTAATATACCAATATTTCCTAAAACCAAATTAATCCCCAGATAACATCAAGTTCTTCTAAGAAGCTTTTGCCAAGCGTTGGATTCCTACATCTAGCAAAGGTCGTGGAATGGCAATGCAGGTGTTGATTTCTCCTCCTCCTCATTTAAGCAGTGTCTGCAGAAGTCATTCCATAATTTTTCTATATAGATATACGCCAAGCATTATCCGTCAAGAACAACTTCTGTAATTTGGGAACCCATATTTATTAAGCCGGGAACTTTTATCTGAGCCACTTAATGTCGATCAAAAGGGGTGGTGATTTCTTGCTGAATAAATTTGAAGAGTGTCAAA